AAGGTATGCCAGAATAAATGATTGAAACGTGTCATGAATCGAAAAAATCGTGCTATATTAATATAAAATATTATATATAATTATAACAAAAATGATTAAAGATCTGATTTATATTTCGTTTACAATTTTGTATAAAGAGTTTTAGATTATGTGATGCAATTTTATTTTTTAATATTATAATTACTATTTCAAGGTAAATTGAATTTCATTTTATTTTGATAAAGACAATTTTATTATTTGAAACAACGATATTTATCATTATCATCTTTATTATTAATTTATTATTATATCATGTGATTTCTTGATCTTAACATGTATACAAGCATTTATTACCCGTTTCCATTTCTTCGTTCTATTGCTCAACCTAGATAAAGAATAATTTAATGATGTCATAAAAGAAGGCAGATTATAAATGCACGTGGGTGATTACATGTTAAAATTCATGTATAATTTTTTATGATATTTTAAGTGTATCAATTAATAAAATTATGATTTGAATCGTATATTAATAAAACTGTTTTTTTTTAGCAAATATATAATGATTGAAGCAATTTTGATATTATATATAATATCAATGATATATATAAAACAGGTTATTTGGTTTAATTTCAATAGAGTTGAATCAGCATATTGAATTTGTTACTTGATTAAGGGGAAGTATAGATCAATATTTGTATCTGAAGATAAAGTCAAATTTTTTTTATCATAAAAATTATTTAGAAAAATTATTTATTCCATTAGTCAAGATTTAATTCGTTCATTTAATATATTCCTTCACAAATCTTTTTAATAAACTTAACAATAATATATTTTCTATTATGAAATATTTATAAGAGCGTATTGGTATTTTTCTAATTGCATGAAAGCGATCATAGATCTGTAATTATCGAAGGTTTTATATAAAGATTAGAAACGTTTAACAATTAACACGTTATAGGAAGATAGAAAAAAAAAGATAGATAGAATAGATTAGAATTTAAATAAAATTTTATTTATTTAAATACTTATAATAAACTTTATTTAAATAAAGTTTTATTTTATTATTGTTATCTTGAAACTATAGAAATTGAATTTGAATTATTCATTAAATTTTGAATTTTTAACTATAATTACAGAAATTTTGATTAAGTTAAAATTATTTAGAATATGATTAAGGGATTGTATATAATTTTTTTTAATTTTCTATATTTCATCATACGTTGTTATGTAAATAACAATTCATTTTCTTTTTTGAAGTATTCCAAGTATAAATCATATATTAAAAATCAAAGCATTGCACTTTATTTTTTTAATATAAGAATATTTTTATTATGATAGAATTTTCATATAGTGAAACATAATACTATAATTATTTAGTTTATTAATTCAAAGTTATTTATTATATCAGTATATATCTACATATAATTTATTTCGATTTACGATTATAAATGAAGGTAATATATGAAGATAATTTTAATTATTTCGTATGAATTGATTCTTATATCTATTATCGAAATTTTTTTTCTCACAAAAGAATAACTATTAGTTATTGCACTTAATTGCACATAACATTCATCTATAGAGTATATGTATGTATATAAAATATATATATTACATTGAAAAATGAGATATTAGATTAAGTCGACTAAAATCAAATTAAATTGTTGATATAATATAATTTTAATTATGTAAAATAACAAAATTTTTTATAATGTTATATATTCAAACTTATTTATTTTTATTATTACTTAACTTAACTTTACTATTTTTACAGAAAAGTAAAAAATAAAATGACTTTTAATTGAAAAAATTGAAAAAATACCAAAATAAATATTCTGGATATTAAATATTAAATAAAGATATCAATCAGATAATCAAAAATATTGATTATTTGAAAATAAAAATCTAAAAATTATGCATAAGAAAAAGAAAAATGAATTAATCATTTAAATAAAAGACTAACACATGGGAATTTCGTATTTCTTAGAAACTGATTAAGAACTCAATATTATGCAGTTACTGATTGCAATATTAATTTATCGTATGATTTTTTCCTTGACTACATACATAGGAATTGTCCATTTCTTTCTGCATAGCTTAAAAAAATTAGAAAAAAGTTCGAATAATTGATATTCTTAAAGCTGAATTCTATGAATGTTTCTTTATATATAATAATATAATTTTGCTATTTATCAGTAAATTATTAAAATAGATATAATAATTTTAATAATTTCCCTGTATTTGTTATTTTTCATTTCTTCCTTATGAGATGTTTCTTGTTATAATTTATTTTTTTTTATGATTCTAACGAAAAATTTGTAAATAGTCGTTTTATTGATAATTTGTCAAAGAATTATTTTTCTATAATCAAATATAAAATTTGATGCATATCTGAAGAAGCAATGTTATCTATTTTGTAGTCCAATTCCTAGCTGTATATGCACGTAACGGTAAACCGCCGGAAATGCACATAGATCTCGATATAAAGTCGTAGGTAGTATATATAAGTGCTTGCAATATTGTCTTATTTACCTATTTCTCTCATAAAATCTTTTCTATATTTGTGGAATAAATTTAAAAATAAAAATCTTGTCATATTAGCTTCTTTTTAAATGAAATATAATATAGGATGATATAATATAATTATATAATATAATTATATAATATAGAAAATATAATAATAATATAGGAAATTGAAAATTCTGTTATGATATAGCGATTTTGCAAGCAATTTTATTATAATAAATATATTTGTCGAAGTTATAATATTAAATAAGAAAAATAAAAAAAAAAATGTAGATTTTCCAAGCATGCATCCAGAAGAAAATTTCTTGACAATTATTTATCGAATTTTTACTGCGGATGAAACGTGACAACTTTCTGCAGAGTTTGGCAAGATCCAATAAAAATCTGTATAAGCTGTATTGACTTCGACAGCGCATTATCTTGCCAGAGGTAGCTTTGAAAATATACTGACTTTATCATTTAATTTAATCTTTATTCGTTGAATGTCATTTATATTTTATAATATTATTGTATTTCTTTTTTTATTATAATATCAAAATTTTATCATATATATTTTAATCAATATTTAAAAATCAGAAGTTTGACTATTAATTTTATATTAAATATAATAGAATAGAATATAAAATATGAAATATCGTAGAAAGAGGAATTATAGTATTTTCTAGGCGCTTGATGATAATGATATAAAGAATTCTTATCATTGCTAACTTTTCCGTATCTCGATAAGTGCTCATTGAAGTGATAATGTTGCATAGAAAATTCTATACAATATGGAGCATGCCGAAATTTTTTCATATTAATCATATATTTTCTAATATCGTGATATTTTAATCCATAATTTATTAAGCCATTGATAAATAATATGATTTTTGTCCATGATAATCCAATCCAAAATTTGATTTCAATATCGTATGATAATATTCAAATATTGATTTTTAGAAATTATTATTGAAGATATTATTCATCAAAACTTTTGCATGAAATGTGATTCACAATTATACATTTTCATATCATCGAATATTGAAAAATTGTATTTTAGATAGGCCGTGTTTTTCAATATTTTTTTATTCTAATTTTAGATTTTTTTATTCTAATTTTAGAAGAAAATCAGAATTCAATTTTAAATTTAAGATAAATTTAAAATATATTAAAAGATTTGTTTCTGGAAAAATATTTGATCACAGAGATCACACTTTTTTAATCTCGTTTATTTTATTTTTTTTTTTTTTTCTTTCTTGAAAAATCATCGTATGGAGAGTCTAATATGAGAATATAATACATAAGGAGAAGAAATACAATGTGGAGCATCGATATATCCATGAAATAAGGGAGAAACCGACAGCCATATCGATCCATCCGTCGCCCGATTGGCTTTTATGTACACGCCGACATGTTATACGGGGTGCCTCTAATAAATCGTATAATTGAAAATCAATTTTACTGATAAATAAACAAAAATAGAAACAAATCATTTTTTGGAAAATTTAATTGATAAAAGTGAAACTACATTGTACTTTTTTATTGCGGTGATCTTCATACGTAGAGAAAAAACATCATTTATTTATTACATATATCATATAATAAAAAGAAAATTTGCTGATTACTTAAATTTTTATTAATAAAATTTTAATTTTAATTTTAATTTTAGATTGAAAAAAAGGAAAAAGTTACAGAATTTTTTCTCAATTGAATTAAAAAATGCAGAGATTTTTGACAAATTTATGATGATTTTATTATATTTGCATGTATCGAATTCGATATTGTCGAGTCTTCTGAAAATCTTTTCGTATTTTTTCATGGCAGAATTTCGTTTCCTGCACGACCCAATGGCACGTATTCCTGAGACAAAGGGCAAAAATGAAATGAGAACGGATAATAAATGAGAGCTGGAGAAAAAAACGAACCTACGATGACCTACTTTCGTTATAGTTTCATTAACTATTCTCATTTACAAATAAATTTGTGAGAGAAAGAAGAAAAAGAAAAAAAGAAGGAAATGGAAAGAAGCGACTTCGATTACAAATGACATTAAATTAGTGTTTGCGGGCGTGTACCAGAAGAATAATAGGGTTACTAGTGATTATAATGAAATCTCGTCTAAGCTAACGGGTCATAGTTCAGCGAGGTCTCTCAGAGTTTGTAATTAATTGCGATTAGCAATGAAACAGCAAAACGGTGCCGATAAATTAACAATGCCATCGGTGCAAAACCAGTAGCAATGGATTAATTTTGATCATTGCAATTTATTGAGATTATCAGATATATTGATGTAATAATAATATCAAATATATGATGTAATAAGATCGAATTTGATCATTGAAATAATGCTGATAATTTGTAACTTGTGATGTTTAAGATTAATAATATTAATTCAGTTATATAGAACTAAATCATTTCATTTTTAAGTTTTTATTAGGTTTGTTGATTTATTTTTATTTTCTTAATAATACTTATAATTGAATAATAATAGAAAATTTTTTTTTCTTTTCATGTTAAAGTTTTTTTTTTAAATTTGTCATATTTTTAATAGGTTAAAGTATAATATATTTTTATTAGAATACCTGATCTATTTTAATTAGCGTTTAATTTCTTTTTAGATGAAGTTCTATAAATAAGGATAAAATGTAGAAGAAAATACGTGAAAGGTGAAATCGATCAGGAGATCGATAAAAAAATGAATTATTTTCTACAGGAGGGAATCTGAGTTATTCTTGAGATGGATCGAAGTTTCGTTTAATTTTTGAATGATATAAGGTACATAAAAATAAAGAATTCTCTTTTCATAATGGGAAATTGTTCCTTGTGTATTGCAATTGCGGTCAGTCACTTGTCTCGTCATTAATTTCACATTATTACTTCAATGTGCAATGTATCGAGTGCACGTTCGAACAGATTATCGATTCTTTCGTCGTATATGGCAAATGACATTGAAACATACATATATACTTAGAAATATAGTAGTAAATATCTTGAAAATATATTTTATTTTTTTTCATATATTATTTTTCGTTGATTTTATATTAATTAGTTCTATATTATTTCATTAATTGATTTACAAATTTCATAAACGAATATAATATATATATCAAATAGTTAAATTTAATTAAATTTCATTTAAAATAAAAAAATATATTTATATTTTATATATAAAATTTTATCATCAAGGAATAAAAAAGATTCTTTTTAATATTTATTAGGAATTATTAATAATATATATATAAATGCTCATCACTCTTTAAATACATATGTCATTTTAATTTAGATCACTGTAGACGAACAATTTTAATACTAATTTCAGTTAATTCAGACTCTTAATGTAAATCAAACAGATTGAATTAAATTGAACTTTTAATATCTTTAATATCTACATCTCCTCTTCTTCTTTTTTAAGTTGAAAATACTGCAAAATAATATTGTTATAGTATTCTTATGAAACTTAAATTGTAAATAATTTTTTTTATTTTGTTTTCAAAAAGCAATTATTTTTTTATATCGATTAAATCGATTAAATGAGGACGATCAGTGTAATGATTGAAAACCTACATTAGCTACATTGGTTTTCCCTTCTTCTTTTTCATCGTCGAATTGAAAGGTGTTGAGTATCAGGTTGTTAAGTGGTAGCTAACAACTCGAATTCTTCAGTATCGTCGCTTCGAGTTGATTAGCAAGAGAAAATCGAACACCTCCACCAACAAACCTCGTAAAACATGTTTGCTAATTGATTCGCATGTATTTCAGACCTTTCTTAACTAAGAGATCTGGCTTTGAACCTAAATTTCTCTCTCTGCTATTTTAAATAAACAGAATATTTTCTTTTCCTTAATCTTTAAAAAATTATTTGTGAAATTTTTTTATTTTATTTTAAAAGTTGCTAAAAAAATTATTTAAAATAATTGAATTCAATATATAATTCATAATATAATTCAATATTTAAATAGGATATGATTTATTATTTCAAATAAAATCATATTTTAATTTTATATATTCTATTTTAATATATTCGTTTTATTATAAGATAGATTTTACATTTGTTGGCGGTGCATTGCGTTCTACTCATATGGAGATTGGGCGTGGATATCGTGATGTAATGTGTCCGGGAGTTACAAGTTACCTCAGAGCAATTGGAGTACGAAGGGCAGAGTCACTCGAGCGGCTCATATTACGTGATTTTTCTATCCTTCTATCCTTCCGTGATTTTCTTACCAATTCTTTTTTTCCTCTTAGGTTTTTAAACTGCATCGAAATACACGAATATCTTCTTTATGGTGATCGATGATCTCCTCTTCTATTCCGAAAATCAGCCTGATGTATCGAAGAAAATTCGTTATAGTTGAATGTATGGTATTAATTTATTATTATTTATTTTATTTTATCTTATATTTTAATATACTTTTAATTAATTTTAATAGGAAGAGAAAAATAAGAATTGAACAATTAAAGAAACAAAGATATGATCAAATTTTTTATATTTTGTTTGAATAATGAAGCCAGTTGTTTAATCCAAAATAAAAGAGTAATTAACGGATATTTCTTTTTTTATATTAAGATTATGATGATTTTTAAAAATCAATAAACAGAATGATAAGATCAATATCAATACTCATTTAAGGAACAATTATGAACAAAGGGTTAATCGAATCTTCAACCTATACAATCTTGAACGGGATTGCATTATCATCAGTGTCCACAAATCAGTGCCAGTTTTGTCGGAATATTACAGCATTATTTGGAACGATCCTGGTGGAACATTGTCCGGAAGAAAGGGTTCGCTGCCAAGCATGCTTGGAGCGATCTCGAAGCTGCGGCAACGCGACATAAAGACCGTTTCATTTGTAATACTGCGGAAAGTTTCGTCCTGTCTAGCACAGAAAAGGCTAGAGAGAAGCCTAAGGTAGAAACTTTCGAGGGTGGAACCTTTTTTCTCTGTCTTTTTTTTTTTTTTCATTTTCTTCTTGTTCCTTTTTTCTCTCTCTTTGTACTTACTCCTATACTTATGCTCATGCACATGCACATAGATATGTACACTCCACGATTGAGCGAAGAAAAAACTGACCCGCTCGTACTTTCGGCGCGTAATGCTGGCCAGGAGGTTGCAAAAAACTGCAGGCGCGTGCAGCGGAAGTTAGGGTGCAAAAGGGAGTAAAGAAAGAGAGAGAACGGAGAACGTAGAGGCGAAAAAGGCGATTAGGCCGTCTCGACTCTCCGCTGAGAAAAAATTCAGGGGTGAAATAGTTTTGCGATTTCTGGGAATTCTCATTCTCTTTTGGAGTTACTGCTTTTTTTTATTCGTTTCTTTGTATTTTTTATTGATTTCTGAGAAATATTGCTGAGTGGAAATCATTATTCTGTTAAATTATATTACATAAAAAAATTGAAAGCTATGTGAATTGATATTATGAAATATATAATAATTCGATGATTAAAAACTAAATTAAAAAATCAATTATATATAATTTATTTAGTTATGTATATAGATATATATAAATATGTATAGAATAATAGATATATACAAATAATACAGTAAATTCAAAATAATTTCTTGCTTTTTTCGAATATCATCTATTATGTAATTAATTATGTAAATTAAAAATTATTCATCATTATCTTTATCTTGCACATATATAAAAATCAGTCCTCTTCGAAATAGTAGAAAGCTTCAAAAGAGTCTCCCGGGAAGTTTATTGATTCCTAGCCGAATAGGGCTGATTATTTGGTCCCAGAAGGCAGGTAGAAATCGGTATAGACGAAGATCCGGTTAGAAAATCGGCGAAAGGATGAAGAACGAAGCGATGATATCGAGATAGGCGCGGTATAGAGAGAGGTAGCACGGAAGAGTTTGGGGTAAAAATTTCTAGGACGAGGCGAACGGGTGCAATGCACCGGTGTACGCGATATACGCTCGACGATCAATAGCCACCCCACCTTACTGGGCCGGCGGCGCATGAATGAACCTCGCCTTTTACACACTACTCGGTAGTAGTAGCTCTCTCTACTCGCGCGCGCCGCCAGCGAGCTGCAACGCTGCCGCCTTCGGCCGTGTACAGCGGTTTTCAATGCCCCTCTGATCGCTCTAGCTGAATTTAGATGAAATTTAATCAACTAGGTGATTAACATGAATCTTATATTTGATAAATTGATAACGATTAATCTTTTATTAATGATTTTTCTTTTGTAGTTACAGATTTTAAAATTGTGTATTACGTTTTGGAATAATGAATGAAGATAAAAGTAGAAGATATACGTGGATGGAATAGAATAAAGAATTTCGTATTTAATTTGGATGAAGTTTAGTCAATATTAAAATTCATTAAGAAACAAGAATATATCATTAGCATTATCATTTTAATTTTTAAAATTTATATAAATTTGATTATTTCGTGTTCAATATAGAATAGTTTCAAGCGCACAAAGAATGGAAAGAATGAAAATTGGTCCCGATACAGAATTGGATGGAGTCGACATTCATAGGAAATTCTTAATACATACTATGAACAAAATGTGACCCAATTTTTCAGATTCCCAATAATCGGTGCCACATAGCCGACCTATCTTCTTTTTTATTGGATTCATCACTTGGTTTTTCTTTAACACTTGATTTTTTTTTTTATTCTTTCATTTATTTTTTCAATATTTCGTTCTACGGTATAGTAATTTTCAAATAATAAAAAATTTTTAATATTCTTTTATTTTTTATGTTTCTTAAATTGGCTATTATGATTATTAATGCATTCTTTTCAGGTATATATATTGAGAACCATCTATCTTGCAAGATACGATATATAGTACATTAACTTAATATTTACCTATCACAACTTTGATTATACGATTAATGTGCAAGTTAAATTCATCACATTCGATTGTAAGAACTTGAAGATTCTTCTCGAGAAACATTTAAAAGTTATAATTAATATGCAATTTTCCATTTTTTATTTTCTACTTAAAAATTCTATGATGTTCTTCATCGATGAAGAACTTTGAAGTTCAATTTTTTATGATATGATTTAAACATAATATATTAAAATTAAAATATTAGGATCTATATTTTGCAAATGGATCTGAAAGATAGTAATCTAATCAAAAATATAAACAATGTCAGATTGAATGGCATTTTGTTATATAAGTAATTACATTTTATTTTATTTCTTTGGATTTTCTTGTACTAATTAACCCTTTTGTATAAACCAATAGAATTAATATTCTGTGTCACTGAGTCGGAGAAGTTCAAGCTATTGATTTCCCTTCACATTCCTCGAATCTGTCTGTGTATTGGCATTGACGATTCGTATGATATCTGTTTCTCCATTACCTCCTCGTAATTACATCCCTTCAGGGACGAATATTTTAAACTTAGGAATGAAAGGATTAATTTTTAACTTGTAATATTTCTCATCATCTAATATTTTCGTGTATTATTCACATCTTTTCTATATTTATATATTTCTTTGAATTCTCTATCTTTAAAGAGATAGTTAATGTTACAAATTTCTATAGATAAATTCAAGATATATTATCTGGAAGTTGGATGAAGGAACTTCGTATTTGCACAGTGACCAAGTCAAACAGTAAACATCTGGTACATATTATGCTTCTCTGGAAACTGTTCGTTGTAAGTTCTCCAGCAAATAGAACTATATTTTATGAAAAACACTGATACACTCACGAAGAAACATTAGAAAATCGCAAACGAGAAGAAGAATCTTTCATTATTCATCACTGTGTCTTATGAGCATAAGTAATTATTAATTATTTAATTATTTATATATAAAAAGTTATTATATGTATAGCTTAAAAATCGATTCTCTTAACAAAAATTTACAAAGAAAATTAAGAAAATAAAAATTTACAAATAAAGACAAATACAATTATAATCGATCATTAATCGCAATAAAATTAGCGATTAAATTATTGATACTTATTTTACGAAAAAATTAACTTTCAAAACAATTTTGATACAGAATCAAAAGATCTTTGAGAAACAAGGGATCTATATCAAACATCTACATCCAGAATGTTTTTTATAATTAAAATTTTCAAATTTATAAAACGTTCAATAGTCCAAACAAATGTATCATCTTTATATTAGTTAAAAATCGCGATTTTGCCAGATATCACGACTTATTTCATTTCTATCTGTCACGTTTAATTAACAAGGGATATAAGATTGGTATTTGTGATCTGCTGTCGTAATGTCCTCCAGATGAGATACGTGGGTAAATACTTTCCTTTTCGTAGGTGTTATTAAATAAACCATTGCTGTTGTCGATCATTTTAATATATATTGAATATTATTTTTCACTATATTTTCTGTACATTTCTAATTATTCTAAAAAAAAAGAAAAGAAATTGTCATCTTATGTTCAAGAATTTTGTAGTGCAATTATTTAATTTTCATTATAACTTATACATAATTTATAAATCAAAACGTTGTGGATTTGTAGAAATTTAAAAAAAAATTTTTAATTTTTAATATTATTCTAAAGTTTTTTTGGGATTAAATTTTAAATTTCCATAATCATGATGATTAAATTGATGTAAATTTTTAAAATGATTGATAATAGTAAAAATGTTTATTAAGATATTTATTATAATTAAGATATTTTCTTTTAGTTTTTATATCATATTAACTATATATAAATATATATATATTTCAAGTTTTATATTAGTTTTTATAATTTTAAATTGTATATATAATAAGTATTTGTAATTTTATTTAATTTTTATATTAATTAAATTTTAGAATATTTTCAAATATATAAATTTTAAAAATCTATAATTGGAAAAAGAATCGGTTGTGTGTAATGATCGATTGAGGGAGGATATAGATCGTAACTTTGCTTCACGTGAACGTATTTTAAATTCGCGTATGAATGAAGCCATTCGCGTGCAGTGATGATTCAGATGGGGCCAACGTGTAAGAGTGTATTTCACCCCTTCTCATCACACCCTCTTCACATTTCTTTTTCTTTCTGAATCACTTTTATCCGACTATTTGTTTTCACTCGTTTACTAAAACATGTTGCTTTCTTTTTACCTTTTTATCTTTCTGTAATCCATAAAAAATTTTTGGTAAAAATTATTAAATTCAATTTATATATATTTCTCTTTCAAATTTTTCAGCTCTACACAATCTTGTTATAGAATATTAAATAAATATTTATGCTGCTTTTGCTTTTTATTTCTAGACATTAAAAAGACAAATGAACATTGACGATAAATATTTATATATAATATTTTTCTTATCTTCAAGACATAATAATCTATTAATAAAGATTGGATTATTATATAAAAGTAATTGAAAATAAAATGATGGAATACTGTAAAATTATGAAAGAAGATTTCTTTATCTTGAAACACGAGATTATTATCAACTCACGTAATCAAGTGACGTCGATCATTATTATGCAGGTATTGCGCATTACATGTTTCCAGCTCATATCATTAAAATAGTAGTACGATGTTAGACAGAGAAATTCCTCTACTGTACTAAATACCTCGTTTTCGAGAAAATAACATAATGTTTCTTCACAGATGATTCTTTTTTCTTTGTTGTTTTTCATTTCTATCTATGATCATGTTAATTATATTTAATTAGTCATTTTGAAGTGAAATTTATATATAATTAGAAAAGTTAATATTTCTAAATGATATTTATTTTTGTATTCCATAGAATAATATTTAATGAACAATATTTTTAAATGACAACATAAAAATATCTTTGTGATAAACAAATAAAAATGATATATAAAAATGAATTGAAATAACACTATGAATATTATTTCAAAATATAATTTAAAAAATATTCAACTAATAATAATAATTTTGACAACAATGATTAATGAAATTAAAGAGAATAATGAATTAAGAATGATATTTATTATAATTAATGAATACAGAGTAATGATTAATATACATTTTATTAATTATATTTTTATTACAC